TTACAGAATAGTCGTACTTTCAGTATACATTTTTTTTGCACTTGATGATGTTGTTACCTAACAAACTACACCCTCAGTAAGGTAACCATAGTCATAACTCGGTGTGTTTAAGCAGTCTTTTAAAGGTAAGATACAAGTTAACCCAAAAGCTTACTGTATTATTTTCAGTTATAGCTAATCGTCTTGGGGGGTCGCTTGTGATCACAACGGTTATCAACCACTACTTTTATTGGAATCCGCCATACTCCGTGAACAGATCAATATCCTCGTGGTTAATCCAGCAGTTTGGTAGATTAACTCCAAGCAGAACTGGTGAAGTTATCTTACTATAGGGCCATCACTCACAGCGCTAAGACGATAGTAGCCTAAGGTCACAAAGCAATCCTTGCTCTACTAAAGAGTGTACTTGATTTGAACAGGTTCTTAAAGTTTTATATTACCTTTAAATTTAAGCAATTGTAAATTTAATTGGACTTTAGCTAATTTTAGCTTTGTAGAATGAGTAGTAAGTCATCTAAGCATTTTTTGTATTTAAATCCTACAACTAAAGGTTACAACCTCTTATCATAATTATTGAGAGAAAGCACCGAGCATAGCTAACACTCATATGCAAGAGATGCGAAGCACTTCCACTATGAGTACCACCTACACGGCTGAAAGATAACATTAAACCGCCTAACTTACAACCATCTCCGAATAATAGCCAACATCGATGTGTTCAGAGCCCAATGGTATGCCGAGCGTTTATGCTGCCCCTTTATATCATTTTTGGAGGGCTAATTAGATTAAAAAGCTCTGTGATAATCTTCAACTAGGTAATTTTTACTTATTATAATTATTATTTGAATTCTTTCTTTCTCTTCTTTATTTTCTTTAAAAGCAAATTATATATAGATGAAACAATTAATTTGTTTTAAGCTAAGTAGGAATGGAAATTTCTAAAAGATGACCACCACGCTCATAGTCATTTTATTAACCAAGGGTAAGTGAACAATTTTTTTTTTCATATAAAGGGATTTATGAAGCAAAAAAAATTAAATTGAAAGCATTGTACACGACTGAACTAATTTAAAGGGGAAATTATTTGTATCACTACAGATAACAGCCAAAAGCTACAAAAAAAATTTAAGGCAAGAAATTAAATAATAATGTCGTTTGTTGCTCCATTCTACACTTCAAGACTTTTTAAACAATTAAGCGTTAGCGTTATGTAGCTCACAAAGTGAAGTAAAAGGCAAAAAACACATTCCAATAATTTATAAATTCTAATTTACTATATTTAAAGTTAATGACATTGAAAGCTTAAATTTGATAAGCTTACAATATACTTATTAAGTAAAGCCCGATTTAACTAAACTATATATTTTTAGTTATGTTTGTCGGGTAAGATAAAGAACCGAAACTATTCCGTTTACTTTAAGCTCATAATGGCTGTAAAGGGCTAAAAGTGAAAAGTAACTTATCTTTTAGGAGCATCATTGTGAATACAAAAAGATTCTCCACTTGTGGAATCTAATACAAGTCCTTCAATATCTCAATCTTCAAAATTTTTATTAACTTTGTTTGTTTACGAAATGCTTACAACTGTACAAATTTTCAGTACAAGAAGCAAAACTAAAGTTCAATTGCGAAAAGTTTTTTTTTATTATCACAATATTGAGACCTCTGATTACTTCAATTATATTCTTAGTTAACAACATTCAATTCCTCTTTTTTCCTGCATTATATGCAGTTTTTAGTAAGCATTAATCCCTTCTTAGCCGGGAGCCTAGCAAGAAAAAGTTGAATATGATACTGCTATGAAGTTAAAAACTATAATTTGAATTTTTTTAATATACACCTAACTCTATATTGAATTTTACTTTTACAGTATTTATGAACCTCTTTAAATGAAATAAATTTACCAAGAATAAAAAATCCAGTTCACATCTACCATTCTCGTAATCATTTATTACTTTGTATACCCTTAAGAGAAAAAATATATTTAGTGAGTTTTTTTAGATAAAAAAAATAGGTTCAAAGTTGGGTAGGTGTAAAAAGACTTTTTTTGTGCATTTCTTGCCCCTTCAAGGCGGGTGATAAACACGGAAGCAAAAAAAATAACGGTTTAATGTTATTTCTGCAGTACGGCAGATCAGCTTATACTTTTGGTACTATCCCTGTATTGGATAGTGTTATTTCCTGTATATATATAGAATGAGACCGGCAAGCCACCGGTCTTAATTGATTTATCCCAATTTTATTTAAAACATAGCAACTTTGGTTTTAAAATATTCAAATATATCTTAATAGCAGCAAAGTTTTTTTTCCTTATTACAAAACCACCACAAGTCGTATTTTTACCTGTGCTTTGTTATTTATAATTTTGCTAGTCGTTTGCGTCATATATTATTAGAAGACCTGCACTTTTTGGCGTGATGGCATTGCTATTAAAGATCCCATTTAAATAGTCGCATAACATGTTTTACATTTATACAGTTTTAATTTATAAAATAATTTTTTTTTACAGAAAAATAAAGTTTTAATATAAAATCTTACTAGTATAACCTTTAATACGAAATTGATTTTTTAAAAAATTTATAATATCAATTAATTAAGTTAAGGAACATCAGAATCTACACTTCGAATAATAAAATACTCCCGAACTTGTAAGATTCCTACTAACTCTAAATATGATCAACTAGAAGCTTTGCTATTGTACTGGGGTAAAACTTTTTTGAATAACAAATTAGGTTTGTATAAATAACAAATCGTCAAATCATGAAATTTCCTCGGATCACGGTCAAAGTATTTTAAATAATTGTACATTTACCTGGACCTATAAGAACTCTCCGCGATTGAAGACATTTAGCTACTTGTGCAGTCGTTAAACTGAACATTCATGCAATGTTGTTTTAAAAACTTCGCTTAAAACGATATATTGTAATATATTTGATCAAAACGTTTAAGGTATGATTTGGAACATGTGAATACTATAACGGCATTTATAAAAAATATAATTTTTCTTTGAAATATGCCATATATTAACAAATAACGCTGCCTTAGAGTTAAACATAGTCTTATAAGTAACTTTAAAGGACATATATTTAACCTCTTTTGTAACGAGTGAGTGTAAGTTAAGCACTATAAGTTATAGTATGCATGAAATAGAATAAGACTAAATAGAAAGCGCATTCTTGCTATTGTAAACATTTTGTTTATTTATTTCAAAAAAAAAACTTTAGTACTTTTATTAATGTTATTTAAAGTTCATAAGGTTAGTACTTTTATTAATGTTATTTAAAGTTCATAAGGCAAATATCAATAAAATTCTTTTCTCTAGTTTCTTTCTTCTTCAATTTTGTTTCTGTGTGTGCTAGTGCGCCTATTAATTTTGTAAATCAGATGTCTATATCTGAGAGTATGGCTAACGACTAAGACTCCGGGTAGACACGAAACTATATAGCAAAGAAAGTCTCCATCTCGTTTCATCTCTAACATTTTTTTTTAAAATGCTTTGGCCAAGAGGACTACGCGTGGTTGGATTGCAAATCAACTTTTAGAAAAAGTCGTTACAATAAATAAAACTTATATAAACCTTTTTTTTTTGTAAAAGAGTGATCATTCTTTTAAAAATAGTAATCGCTTGCTTTTAGTGTTAAATAAATATACATAATAGTTTAAATGGGAAGCTTTCAATTGTTTTCAAAAGGTTAAACGCATAGCCCATCATATCCTTTAACTTAATTTTAACATTTGCTCTTTTTTTTTGTTAGTTAAGACCCCCACTCGCATAGTCACGCGAGTTGACTTTAGCGCTTACAACAATAAAATTGATATTAAGAGAGGCAGCAAGTTTATTAACTATCCTGCAACCGTGCCCAAAAGACAAAGATCAGAGAGACTGGAATAGAAGGTTCTCTCGATAATACATTAGTAATTAACTAAATATGGTAATGCGCGTACACTAGGTTTTCCCAGTGCACTCTTGTTGGACGCCATTCTAAAATTTTATTATGGTTTATTAACGAGTCATTCAGTAAAGGTTATAAGTTAATTTGTTTCATTATTTTTGTTAATTTTAGTCAACCACAAGTAAAGTGCTAGATGAAAAGCAAAGTTTGTTTAAAAGAATCTGAATTATTATAAATGTTCCCCAAAAAGTTATTAAATGTTTATAAACCGGTTTTCTAAATTTATACATAAAAGGATATTACTTCATAAGGATGTAGGGCAATTGTTTACGCGTTTGTTTTGTGGTTTATTTTTTTTTTGTAGGTGCATTATTTATTCGGAAATTCTTATTGAGTTAAAGCCCTCTCTAAATTCTTAAAAAAGAAAACTTTTATTAAACTTTATGAAACCTGCAACGAATTTATTGATAACCTTATTTCTGAAAATTTTCTTTTTTCTATGGAACATTCTTTAACTTCTTTTATTTCGCTTTCCCTTAATATGGCAAGCTAATACTAATTCAAAGTCATTAAGTGTACCTAAATTAGTTCTTAACGCCGATTTCGAAATTTTAAAAAAATGTTTATTAAAATTTAGTAATCTCTCCAAGGTAGCCAGTCCGTCTGTCTAAAAAAAAATTAAACTTTTTTATAGTAAATCTTAATAAAAATCATTTAGAATAACTAATGCTGGATTGCTTCTAGTGCGTTAAAAGCTTACAAAAAAATTTAAACTGAGTAGCATATATAAGTAAAATGTACCTCGTTGCACTGTTGCTACTTTGTAGTATTAATTAAAACTTCAAGTAAAGAAAGCAAAATAAAAAAAGAAATTCTTTTACTAACTGTATATCGATCTTAAATTTTTTTTAATTATATAAAACTTACTTAAACCAAAACAAATAGTGTTGCAATGGTCTTAACTATTGTCCCTCAACAATCTTAATTTTTAATTTTTATTCTTAGATTTTTTGTTTCTACCTTTTCTAGCTTAATTTATTTTTATAAATTTTAGTTATTAAAAGGTAAAAATAAATTCCCTAGACAACTTATAAGAATGAATAGATCTGCAAAAAAAAATATTTTTATTAAGATTTCTGTAAAATAATTCGACGAACGCTACTTCTTCCGCTTAAAAATTTTATTAGCAAAATCCATAAAGATTTCTTTTGGAATGTCAGCAGTTGTGTTTTCAATAAGCCTAATCAGTTCACCGTAAGTACGTTCTTCGTACTCGTAGAAGAGCTCATCAAGCTTTAGATCTTTATACAAAGCCTTAAAATTTATAGCATTTCAATAATAATAATAATAAAAATAATAATAATAATAAAATATAATAATAACACCTTTACAGCATCCACAGAATTCTTATCCTTTTTGCCATAATTACCATACAGAATTTTTCGCTGATTTTCATTGGCCAATAACAACGCCTGGACAACCAACCAACTGCATTTGCTATCCTCAATATCCGTCCCGACTTTACCAACCGTCTCCGGCGCTCCAAAGCAGTCTAAGAAGTCGTCCTAATAATAATAATAAAGAATAGTAATAATAACTGTAATAATAACAGACAATAAATAATAATAAATACTTGAATCTGAAAAAACTCGCCCATCACCAGCAAAATATCTTCAGACGTTTTTAAAGTTTTTGGCGTGCCTTTTCCGGCCATAATAAGCGCTTCAGCTACTGGCAAGAAAAAGGAGTAGAAGGACGTCTTGTACTTTACTATTAGCTTGTATCTGTTAATAATAATAATAAATATAATATAATAATAACGAAAAAATAAAACAAGAGTCAAATATTTTTTTTTACGTTGCGCAACTAAAAATATGATAATAATAATAAAACAAAATAAATATAAAAAAGTTTAGAAAACCCATTAAATACGTGGGCAACTAAAAATAAAAGTAATAATTACAATAAATAAACAATATAAAAAACAAAAATTTTTTTGCAACTAAAAAATATAATATTATTATTAGTAATAATTCATAAGTGCATAATATATTTTATAAACCAATAAAAGCATTAATTTTCTCGCCAAAATAAAAATAGGCCAACAGGCTTATAAAATCATGCTAATACTACTAATCACATTTGTCATTAATATACCAGTTTTACCTTTCCATAGTATAGACGTCAAAGTTCGGAGAATCCACAGGAGCAGTTATTAAATCGTGAAGTTGTCCTAAAAGATTTCGTTATTATTTATTTTAAAAAAAAACTTTTTATATATATTTAAATGTTTTTGGAAAAAAGTTTTAGCTTATTATAACTTAAATAGTCAATATAATTACTTTTAAAAAAAAAAGTATTCAAAAACAAAAATAATAAAATTAATAATGATATTACCAATTTCGGCTTTTAAAGTTATTTGTAGAAAAAGCTCGACAAGATCGATATAAAAAGGCTCGGCTCGGAAATAAAGATTTAAAATTTTATAAATAAACATTTCAAGCATGAAACTGTCGTTAATGGCGGTCAGACCGACCTCAGGCCGACGATACCAGCAAGGTTGACCTTTTATAAAATTTTAACATAATTTTAAAAAAAAGAATCTTTTATAATAATAAAAAATTTCATATCTTTTTTAATATAAACTTAAAGACGCTTAAAAATTCTTTTATAAAAAAATATTTAAATTAAAATTTTAGTTAAACAAATATTTTTTATTATAACCTAAAAACTGCGTTAGTATATTCTTTGATAAATTAAATCTCTTCCAAATTTAGTTTAAGGAATCTCTTTTATTATAAAGTTAAAACTGCGTTAATAAGTTGTAACTGAATTCAATCGGCAGCCATTTACTCCATAAAAAGAAAAAAAGTTGATTAGAAGTTTTATAAGGTTAAACGGTTTCAAACTGAAAGGATGTGGCATCGAACAACGGCAATCTCCACTAATGAAACCAACTAATTTTGAATCTTTACCCCTTCTGGTCACGGAGTCGTCCATGACGTCATCAGCCACAAGAAAACAAGCCTGTAAAAGCTCTACGCACCAGCCCAGCGCATAAGCCTTAAAGATTTCGTGATCTTAAAAAAAATAAATCAGTAAAACCATTAAAAAAACATAATTTCTATAAAAGAATTAAACTGTTTCAATCTAGAATAATCAGAACAAACAATTTAGAGATAAAAATCTCAAATTTTTATTTTACTAATAGAAAAAATAGTATAACTTTTTTCTATAAAAATTTACAGGTCGTAGTATGTTTAATATTTTCTATTATTTTTAAAAATAATAAATACAATAAAATGCTTACCGGTTAGTTCTCTTTCTTTAAAGAGAAGACGGTATGTGTGAATCACACTCAAGCCTCTATTCATCTTTCCTCCAAGAATGTTATAACGCAAATTCTAAGCAAAAATTTATCAATTATATAAAACTTAAAAAAGTTAATAATTGAATACTAGCTTAACAAAACTTAGAAATAACAAGTTAAAACAATTTTATACGGTTTCTATCCACTTAATAGAATCGGGAGCGAGATCTCCAAAATTTTTTAGTTCACTCAAAAGATCGCCAACTAGGATTTCAAATGCCGCTAAAAACTATAACAAAAAATCACAAATATCGTTTAAAGAAATATCTTTTAAACGGCTATTAAATAACTTATTATTATTAAAAAAGTTTTAAAATTTAAAAGAAATTTCAACTTGTTCCAATTCAGACGCATTTGTCCCAATTTTACAACGTTTGAGAGTTTCAAGAGGGACCGAAGCAACAACAGGAGAAGACATAGAAGAAAGCATTCCACCTAACAAGCACCCCTTCTCACACTTAAGCGGAAGTAGAATGATGTAGTTATAATAGTTAAGAAGCCAATAGAACTTCAGTACAACACCCGTAAGCTTCGAACCACTCTCCTTCTTGCTTTAAAAAATGGCGTGGAGGGAGTTAGATATAATAGTTTTCTTTTTCTTTAATTGGATTTTTCTCATGTCGGAATGTCGGTGATAAATTAATTTACCTTCTATAATCAGTTTTTTTAAAAATGGCGATTAATACGTAAATTTTTTCAAATTATGCAAGTTTACACTTATTAATTTTCTTCTCCATTGTTATGTCTTGGATTAAAAGTTTTTTTTTTGCTTTGTTTTAACGGACAAATTGTATAATTATTAAGGCTAATTGGCTCTATTTTTTCTAACGTATAATGGCCGCGGTATTTTTCTAAACTTAAAAGAAAAAATTACTTTGGACCCTATTAACCTGACTTTATTTGCGCACTCGGTTTAAAATATATGCGGCTACAAACCACAAATCTATAATAAATAGATGCGTATAAAGAAAAAAAAAATTTATTAATTTGGTGATTTTTTAAAGTCAACTCACAATAGTTCAAACAAGATAAACTAATGTATTTAGCCCCCTCAAATATTGTAAGGAACACACTCGTTCGAAATTATTTATATAAATTATATATTAAAGTAAACTCTAAGTTTAGCATTGAACTTTTACTAATGTAACTTTCTACAAATTGTGGAAAACTTAGCCCAACCTTGACTCGAGAATTGTTTGTATGGATGCCGTTGGTCAGATAAAATTCCACTAACGCTATTTAATCTAGGCATCTGCACGCTTTTATATGATAGGCAATGTTGACGTATACTCCCTTTCACTAAGTTTTTACGTGAAAAAATTAAATATCTATTGTTTTTCTTCTAAATAAGTATCCTTCTTATAATATCTTTACTTTGTAATCCATAGAGTATAAAAAATATCCAATAACAGAAATATTTTATTATTAGTTATGTAAAAACCAGTTTTTTCTTACTGATAAAAAAATTAGTAATTCTAGCATTATTATTGACTTAAAATGTACTTAGAAAGCCTTCAAAAATAGTGTGAGGAACAAAGCCGAGTAGGATGTTATAACTTTTAATTCTTCAGTTTAAAAAGCAAGCTACTTTCTCGTAGAAAAAACTTTGTACACTGTGACAACACTACTACTAATAACTTATATGTCAGTAGAATGACCCTATCTAGCACTAGAAAATGGAACATTTATAAGAACTTTTTACAAACTATGACTTGTATTTCCTCATTTGTACCCATCGCGGTTTTACACCGAAAACATTGCTAAAATTAACTTTAGGTATCGTGTAAAGTGATTTAAACGTATTAGAAACACAACCAAAGTATATAAGAAAATTTTTATATTATTTTCCTTAACCAGGAATCAAAAGTTCTAAACATTCTGTTTTTTTAAAATTTACATTAAAATGCTATGAAAGGGTGACTACGAATAATCAGGAAAAGTTTGCATAGGCGATTCTATTTCATGAAATATCAATCCACTCGACTACCACAAAAGGGACTTGATTTCGTACACCATTACAATAAAGAAACAGACAATATATTTAGAACATGAAACAAAATTAGATTAAAGTTTAAAGGTGACTTTTAAACAAAAGAAAGCGATCAGAAGCACATAGAACAAGTGTTAAATTTAAACCGCTCCCGTATAGCGTATTTTAAAGAGAGGACCAGTAAACATGCACTCTTTAAAAAAAAATTGTCCTAACAATTTATTAAAACCCTTAAGCATAATTTCTAAAAACTTCTTTTATATATTCTTTACTATTAATATTTAAAAAATATACCTACAGAGCCTCTGTCAAAATATTTTTTAGTATCTTTTTCCTGAAAGAATGCCTTATCAAAATTTGTGTAGTAATTTTTTTTAACAGCGACCATTCTTAAGTTTAATGAAGAATATTATTTAAGCTTTTGTATGCAAACTTTTTAAACCTTAACTACTTAAGTTAAGTGGAAGCTTTAAGGTGAAAAGTACATGTGGCAGTATTTCTAGTTGTTCCTGAGCTTCATTAATTATGCACTTCGCTTTTCGCATTGAGCGATATTTTAAGGAATCTGTGGATCTGTAACATATCTTTAAATATTCTACTCTATTCAAATGACACTTTTAGATAAGCTTCTTTTTAGACTTTTTATGAACAGCTATATTAAAGTGGCTTTATATATATATTTTAGAAGTAATTAAAGAATGTTAGCATAAGAGCTCCATAGTAAATTAGAATAAACGTGGATTTAATAAAAAGTTAAAAAAATAAATTGCTTTAAAAGAGTCGATCAGCTTAATTATAAACAGTTTACTACACGGCTTTAGCAAGAAAAGAGTGTGTAAAAACCTTAAATATCTTACTCTCTCAGGAGAGCAAACAGTTGAGGGTAGTACTAGGTGGTACTATGAGCTAGTATGCTCTCCTATCATTGTTATCATTATTTAATATGTTAAATGTGCTCAATGCGTAAAAATATTGTGATTTGAGTGTTTCGCTCTTAAAAGATTTTTAAGGCTTCCAACTTATAGTGAGAGGGCTGATACTGTTACTTCCTCTATATGAAGCGCCCATCGCATAATTTCTTTTTAAGTTACTTTTGCATCTATTCAATTTTCTAAATTCTTATATTATTTTGCGGTCTTTTCCTATGTTCCATTTCCGCTTGTGTGCAGCTTTGGTAGAGTTCTTTTAGTTCCACTCTTGCTTTAAAATTCTATTTCTGTTAAGTAATTTTGCTCAAAGTTAACTAGTCTACTTTATTATTTATTAAACTTTAACTCTTAAACTTTATCGTTAGGCGCTTATTATTGTCCGAGAACCTTACAACCTTCAAGGTAGTAACATGTAGTCCGAGGATTTACAGTAAAAGAATGCTAATTCTAGTTTTTTCTACATAATTTACAACGCAAGCGTTTTCCTTCTATCATAAGACTACGCGAAGTTGGGCGTCGAGTTTAACAAAAAAAAAATAATTGGAGGCTAGCTCTCAATCCCATAGAAAAAGCTATAAAAGTAACTATGTTATAATTATATGAAAAATTAGTTTATTTATTAAGGAATTATATTGAATAACTAATAACTTAAAATTTCTTGCTACCCCCCTAACTTTTTCGGAAACCTAAATTGATGCCTCTTCTGTGTTTTTTACTAAATCTAAGTATTTTGAGATTTTAAAACAAAAATACAGTATGTTTAAAAAATTTTTCCTATTAATAAGGCTTTATAAAGAACTGCTATTTAAAAATGACAAATAGACACTTTGGCTAAATTTAGCTGATGGCTACTAATAATTCTTTACTCTGAGTTGTCAAGCAATCTTTTAAAAAGTCCAGTGGCTTATCAGTAAATTTATATTGTACTGCCCAGAAAAGTTTTTTCTCTTTTTGTTTGCACAATCCTTAGTAACAAATTATATTATTTTCTTTGTTTCTTTTTAAACTCAAAGCGCTAGTGAACTTGGCATACTTTCGGCATCACTAATTTTCTTATAAATATTAATTTGGCTCCACCCCATAGGGTTAAAAAATTTTGCCGTTTAAGCTTTTTTTATCCATCTGGTAGGGTTTTTAAATTTTACCACCAAAAAAATAGGGGTTTCTTTAAATTTTCGGAACACAATATTAAGTAAACATACACAAGAGTGCAATACAATAGGAACCCTTGCAACAATACCCACATGCAAGCCGACGTAATAATGGCTTCCAACTTCGGCGACCGCGCACTTCGTCGTCTATACTAGTAGTATGTAGCAATCCGTTCCCGCTCGCTCCGCCCCATCGCTTAGGGTTACGATCGGATAAATGCATGGTATAAGCTTTTATGGGTCACAGGGGTTAGAAAAACGGTAAAAATATCTCGCGAGTTATAAATATGTTTTTACTATTATTTGATTTTACAGGCCGGCATCCCTCAAAAACAAATATAAAACAATACGTTGTATAATATAATATTATATATACTATAGAAATTAATTTAATATAATTAAGTGCTCGAAGTTCCGAAAGCACTGTTGAAAATTATTTGATAACACTGGACCCTCTAAGAGCTTTAAATTTACAGAAAATAACGAGAAAAAAAAATGGTAGCAGCACCTGCATGGGCTGCATTTACATAAACACACATCAAGGCCTCGACTCTTTTTATTATAAACAACTTAAATATACCTTACCTGGAAAAAAACCGCATAAAATTTTATAAGGTAATGTTCAAGGGCACTGCGCACGTGGTTACAAATTTGGCTCGCGCACCCGCTACAGTTTTTTTCTTTTTCTTTGCTGCTTAACTGGGGCGCTCAGGAGTCTATAATAATCAATTAAATTTACAGTGCTTTCTAGTAGTTTTACTTTCCTATATTATATCACATTATTGTTTATAATATACTATATTAATCTATATTATATTACTTTACTGCCTATAATATACAAGTTTTCGAAAACTTACAGCCTGTGAAATTAACAAAGTGATATAATATAGGAAAGTAGAGAACTAGAAAGCACTGCAAATTTAAATATTATGAACTTCTAAGCGCAGCAACCCAACTGTACAACAATTAAAGAAAAAGAAAAATAATTGTAGCGTGTGCCCGAGCCAAACTTATATAATCACATGTGCGCTGCCCTTGAACATTACCCTCTTATTACAAATATGGGCAAGCCTAAAACGATACTTAAAAATTAAAAAACGTCATATGGAAAACAATGATCAAGGACCTCCACTTAGTAGTCTTTGAAACTAACATTGGCTAACGAAACATAATGCTAATGCAAAATCTTCTAGGTTATTATCCTTGAATGCCAACTTGTTAACGTTTGGGCCCATTTCAGCGTGAAGCAAACAGACAAACCTTTTAGTTAAAGTAGACGAACAAATTGAACTGGCAAATATAAAAAAATCAAATTTATTTTTATACTGCAACCTCTTTTCTTTGACCTGCGTATATTCTTTAAAAAAAAA